AAGGTAAAAAGGTAAATTCTTATTTTCAGGTGATTATACACTAATATAATTATATTCCATTTCAGTCATTAAATCCTGCTAAATGTTTAACTGTTATCCATCCAATGAATGGACATTAGTACTGGCATAACTAAAAGCAACAAAAAAGAAATGGAGAAAGAGAAACATCGTTCGTTTACACAGATTATTTTTATTGGAGAATCTCCCAGTATGTCGGCACACATGCTGTTTATTACCGTCTACCCAAGCATTCCTTGGACTAAGATGCATGTTCCAAAAATTATAAAATAAAAATTCCTTTCCGATAAAACATAGCCTCATTAACAATTGTGCTTATAGGAGGACAGGAAATATTTTCAGTGCCAAGTCAAACTAGTCTGCCTCAGCACAGCAGTTCTTAATTATCAAATAGCTAGATCTCAAGGTAGTGAGATTACAGCTCAGCACTACTGAAAATGAATGCATGGAAAGGCTTGTTATTCATTAATGCTAGAAACACCTTAGATCACAGCGCAGTACTTAAAAATGACTGGATTAGAACTACACAAGTCAAGAACTGGGACGAAAATGTTTCCTCATCCAGTATGCTGACACGCTTTACGGAACAAAGAGCTCTTAGCCTTAGCCTAACCCTAAACTTGAAATTCCCTTTGGTGACACTGCTAGGAGCTATTGCACCTGACAACACAGCTCCGAGGTTATGGTGGTAAACAAACCCCTCCACCAAATTAAGCCGGTAATTCCTGGATCTATTCCAACATGTTGACATGACTGGTGACATTTCAAATTCATTTGCGTGACAATTAAACCACCAATAGCACAAGATATCTATCCATTTTGAGTACACAGGAACCAAAAACGTATTGCTATCCAAATTTTACTGCCCCAGAAAAAAAAGGAACCATTCATGTCCTTGGAGAGGAAGATAGGGACTGGCCGCAAGTGCTGCCACTGCCTCCTCTCTCAAGCCTCCACTGCAAACCACTTAGTCTCCCTTCTGTGTCTTTTCAGGGAGATTAAACATGTCTCAGAGGAAGAAAATATCAACCAACCAAAGGAACAAGATAAATTTAAGACCTCCTAATATCTCATGTCTGCCTATGGAGAATTGGTGATTAGGACGGTCAGTGTATGCACGCGAGTGTGTGTGTGTATGTGTGCATCATAAGAGTGTGTGTAAGTTAGACTGTCTGAGATAATCTAACAAGACTTGCTTGCACCTACTTTGCTGCTTGAAGGCTAAACCCTGATACAGTTCTGCCAATTGCAGTGATGTTGGACTGTGTCAGTGTGAGGTTATATTATGTCTGATTACAGGTTTATGTGAACATGGCAGCTGATTACGTAACTCAATGAGTGTATTAATATTTTGAGTGCTCAATATTACAGTGTTATTTTATTATTAAAGATCCCCCCCCCAGACATGTATTAAGCTAGATACAAACAGTGTTTGATGTAGAAGCTCTGAATATACAAATGTTGTTCATTTCTAAAGTTTTCCTGCTGGAAACAAGATGTCTCCTACTTCACTGTAAAGAAGCAGCTCTCCTCAGTCTGCCTTGCTTGCTTTTAAATTACTACAAGGGAAAATAAATTAATAAATAAAGTGATCGAAAATTAGTGGTGTCACATTGATCCACCTTGCATGGCCGGCCTTAACTATGGATGTCTGGGAGAGTTCCAGTCCAAAAGAGATGACTCACAAAATCATTGATCCTGTTTCCAAGCAGTCAGGCTCACTCAGCTTATAAAGCTGAAACAGGAAGTTCATTCCCTCCTTAACCACTGTTACACAGTTCCAGTTGTAATAATACAACAACACAAGATTGCACAGGATGCTGAGGTCTAATAAACATTTTGAATTAATTTCCCAAGAAATAAAAAAAAATGAATTCAATATTTGCAGTCTTTGAAGCCTTTAAATGTTATCCGTCCAATGAATGGACATTAGTACTGGCACAGAGATGGGGGACTCAAGTCGAGTGACTTGACTCGAGTCAGACTTAAGTCGCCAGATTGAGGACTTGTGACTTGCTTGATTAACAGTGATAAAAGACTTGACTTGACTTTGAATTGCTATTCATGACTTGAGACTTGACTTAGACTTGCATGAAATGACTCGACAAGTCATTGCTGTCTTTATTAATATGTGAATTATTAAAAAATATATATTTTTTCGATCGGATGTTTCCTGTTGCATGGGCGAACTGACTGCAGCGGTTGTATAGAGGCCGGAGCGGAGCACTTGGAAGACGGAACTGGAATGCGCTGCTGGCACAGCAGCTGTTCCCAAAATTTAGAAATTTAGAAAATTAGAAAAAGACTTTTCTTATGAAAACAAAAGGGTCTGCAGTGCCAGAAATTCAGACACCTCCAGCACCACGTCGAATTTCATTCGGCATTTCAGGCTACACAAGGAAAAGTAAGTAATGTCGCTAGCTATAGCATTCTTTTTAACCTGACGTTAGCTATTTCCATAAGTCAAAAGTGACAAGAGCTTACTGTTTGCATTACAGACCACATCAAGTTTGAATCATGTTGACGTTTAAGTTTTAAATTGTGAGACTATCGTGCTAAACAATATTACCTATCATTCAAGTCAATGTAGTGGCATTGTGCTAGCAAGGGTTCTATCTCTTTGGTAAAAGCCTGCATTCTCCTCCCTCACTTTCCCATAGCCCACAGTACAGTAGTAAATGAAAGATGGTTTCAAAGTTTTAGTATAGATTATGTTAAGGCAAAGATCATTAAATCTTGAAGAGTACATGCACTAATTGAGTGTACAATGTAGGGCTGCAACCATTAGTTAGTTAGTCCCACGTCGTATTATAAAACCCCACTTTATGATCACATACTGTTAAATATCATGGCAGCACTAATCATAACACAAACACTATGTTACATTTAAGGTTTACTTTTTCAAGTTCATTCTTTGATGGAATGTTTTTTGCGACATATTGAAATATTTGTTGCAAATAAAAGTCCAGCACTTTAAGACGGTTGTCATCCAGCTTATTATATTTCTATGACTTGACTTGTGACTTGCTTGACCTAAGCTATGATTTGACTCGACGTGACTCGACGCTCGGACTCGGGACTTGCTTGAGACTTGCACATGTGTGACTTACTCCCACCTCTGTACTGGCATAACTAAAAGCAACTAAAAAGAAATGGTGCAACATCATTGGTTTACACAGATTATTTACTTTTTTTGGAGAATCTCCCAGTATGTCAGCACACATGCTGTTTATTACCATCTACCCAAGCATTCCTTGGACTAGGATGCATGTTCCACAAGTTATATAACAAAATTCCTTTCCGATAAAACATAGCCTAAAGTAAAGCACAGTTGAAAAGCAAGCCGCTGAAAAGTGAAAACAAACACTGATCCATCTTTAAGATACGCCAAAGTGTGATCCTATCGTCACCCATTGGTTTGTAGAGTACCATTTTGAAGCCTCCAGTTTAGCATTTTGGGCATCGCCATGACGGTTTGTCGCTCACTGGCTGCATAGTTTGGACTTGTCCATAGCAGGAAACAATAGCAGCTTGCCTGGTCACAAACTGCTGGTTTAAAACACTTTTGCATCAGCTTCACTTCACGGACCCGGAAGCTCTGTCCATTATACACACTGTCAATGGATACGCCTTTATTTAGAAATTCCCATGGGCCGTTTTCAATCACCATCTCTGTCCAAGGGCACATCCTTCCTAAATAAAAAGTAGCTATACAGTACAGTAAGACATAACAACATAACAACACTACAGACAGTTTAACAGAGTTGAATTTCTCCACAGAAACAACTTTGTTGCTGTTGTTTTTTCCCTTGTTTTTCCAGCTGCAGCTGAGTACATGTGACTAAAAGTGAGTATTCCCGTCAATAAACGGAGAGTTTTATATATGCTTATATCACTGTATTATTTTACAATTTTAACTCCTAATTTCTTGTTGGTAAAGCAAGTTAAGAGTTACAGGTAAGAATTACAACTTCTGGTAGGGCTCTGCTGCTGCTGGGACACTCACAGTGAACTGAAAGTTAAAGCTGCAGTAGGTAACTACTAGAAAAATAACTTTTCTTCATATTTGCAAACCGCTAACAAACTTTCACTATATCCTGACAGTAGAACTTGAGACAAATAATCTCAAGTCTCATGTACTACTGTCAGGATGTGAGGATAGTGAACGTTTCAGCAAATATGACCAAAAAAAACACAACAACAAAACACAACAACAAAACTCTCATAGCATGGATTAACGTGAGTCAGAAACAGGCACAATAACTTTAATTGTTTTCCCTGTTGGACTAGTTGCAACTGGCTGACTGACAATCTCTCTCTCTTCGATCCTCTGCCTGACTATTGCTGTTCAAACCTGTTACTGACTGCTCACATGACTGCTCACATTTGTGACTGTCAAGGTGTCTGTTACACTCAGCTATCCCAGTCATCGCGTAGCCTAACGGATATTGTTAAATGGGCATATGATCTTGTCTAATATCAATCGCAGGCTGCTGAATCGAATCGAAATCATATCGTGGCAGACTTAGCGATATAAAAAAAGCTGTGTTGCGTAGATGGCAAGCATTTCATTAGAAGCACAGTGAGGCCCTAGAAATCCCTGATGATGATGACAATGATATCAGTCTTATCACTATTACCACTTATGTTAAAAGTGCTTGAAACTAAAAAGAATAATGCAATCACCTTTTAACTTGTAGTAGTAGTGAAGTAAATATATAAAGTACAAAGTGACTGTGTGTGAGTTTGTTGGCAGTGATACACAGCCTGGGAGTACAGACTGCCAACAAGTCCCTAAAGCATAAATCTACTTGCAGAGAAGTTGGCTGGTTGAGGTCAAAGTTCACTTTTTAGTAGTTTTCTAGTCTTTTTGGACCAGGGATCTTAACGGTTTTCATCATTTTAAGAAGCAGTTGTGAGAAATAACTGGACAGTCGCTTGGCTGATTTCAGGCATGAATCTGTTGTATGTACACCAGTTACCTTCGTGCACGGTCACCCCGCAGTTGTCACACTGGATTATCTCATCTGCATCCTCGCTGTTGTCACCCAAACAGACGCAGCAGATGAGGATGTGCTGAGTGCTCCAGGTCTGGGACCGGTCCAGCAAGGCATCCTGGGGAATCGGGGAAACAGAGCCACAGTAAAGCCACTTATCCAACGTCCCCTCCCTCCGATCTGACCACAGATGCAGTGATTGGCAGTTAGTAAATCCCATAGACAATGCTCACAGTGCTAAGTCGATTACAACAAAGGCAGAAATTCTCCTGGAATCACTTTGATACCATCTAAACCTCTCACTGGATTATATGGTGACTCTGTGACTCGCATTGTTTGGTATTATGCAGTGCCATACAAAGTAGCCAATGTGCAGACCAAATTCATCTGCAGTGCCTTTCATAACTAGGATAAGGTGGAAGACTGCTCAGTATTAGCACAAAGTAGGCTCCACTAGAAGTTTGTCCAAATAAAACACAGGTATAAATAACACAATTATGACGTAACAGGCACTATCATATCAGAGAATAAGAAACTCGATCAAGAACATATGTGACCAATGGCTTTCAGTGCCAACTTTTGGTGACTAACAAAAATGTGGAAAATGTTTCTGGACTAAGGTCTGAATACCCTTTTCTTACAACTTGCTGGCAGTTCAGCAACCTGTAGCAGCAGCTGTGTCTAGATTCAGATCTAGTCTAGTTAAAATGGAAATTATTACTCATTTGGAATTACTAAATTAAAAGCGGTTGTCACATTATTAGACTCACTGATGGTAAAACAACAGCTGCCTCACAACATCATTTTTTCATTAATTGTACAGTGTGACACAGTAATCACACAGATACCTAATTTAATAATGTATTTCAATATCGATTAGTGTTGCACGGTGCACCGATACTTCTAAAGTATCGCGATTCTCGGAAATTAAAAACGTCACGATTCCTAAATTTATTAGTATCGATACTTTTAAGAATGACTGCGTTGCAGATTTGTAAGAGACTATTCATGTTGGGGGTGCAACGCATGCTTCCAGTGCCTCCCTCACGCACGCAGCAAAGAAGCTGCAGCTGTCATGTGACACACTGTAACGAGATGGCTGCATGTGCGAGCACAAGTGATACTGTGGCCGCTGGTCCACGACTGGTAGAAAAAGATGACGCGAGGAGTGAAATATGGAAGTACTTTGCCTACCTTGCTGATAGTGAGGGCAAAGCTACCGATAAGTCGAGACCTGTTTGCCAGGATTTTGATTGTGGGTGGGCCGCCAGAAAACTGGATGGGCCAGTTAAAATATAGCCCTATTCACACGGGACTAGTAGCCTATTACCTGGGGACTTCATGTTATTTAGTAATAATTACTCCACCACGTCTGTGTTTCGTGCGGCGCATTCGCGCGGGATAAGCAAAGCCTTTGTTTTAATTCGAATTTATTGACATTATCCCCCGGATATGATCACAACAATAGCATGTCTTCATAAACCACCCTTGTTCGTCTTCATACAATATGTTGGGAAGTTGCAGTAAATATCAATACAATATGTTCTATATCCCTTTGTGTTGTGTCTCTCCTTCGTCTGTTAAGATAACTGAACATTTTGTGAGTCTCGAGGCATTGTCAGCCTTTATATCTCATTTGTAAATGCTTTATTAGCCATAGATAGTGCTCACTTCAGATGGGCTCCCGTAAAATACTTAATTAATGAGTAGTAAGTGCTTTGTAACTGTGAATTCCTGCATTAATAACTGTTTATAGGCCATCATTAGAAAATGAATTTGTTGTGAGTTTTATAGAACATCTGCTAACACAGTCACTAATCATTAATACATGTCTGAATAGTGGATGTGCAAGTGCATGCAGAAATGTACAGTACAATGAAGAGTAAAACATTTATAACTGCGATTATAAACCACATAGTAATGACTATTTACAGCAGAATCATGCTTTATAAATGATAAATTCAGTATTTACTAATCCATAACTAATGTGCTTATCAATGATGAATAAAACATTTTTAACTGTGTTTATAAACTACATACTAATGTGTATTCATGCGTAATAAATGATTAATTCATTATTTATTCATGCTTAACTAATGCTTAATAGTGTGTACTCATTATAAAGTGTTACCTGGTAAGGTAATGGTTAAGTAAATGTTAGCTGCATATAGAGATGCTAAGTTAGTCACAAGTTATTGTTACTATCACACATAAACTATTTAGGTCCTCTGTTACGACAAATTTATCCCCATCATATTTTAAATGTTTCCATTTTCTTCTGCTACAGAAGTCTGGAGCCACGGGCTCCGAAAGAGCAACTCCTCAAAGGCAGCAGCCAACCCAGCAGCCAACCCTCCAAGCTATGTTTGAGCAGCACAAGTACCCCAGGCATTATTATATTTAATCTTTTGAATGTTTACATTGTTTAATAAAATCACTGTTCATGTTTTTATTCAAAGTTCTGAATCAAGATAAAGTTATGTTTTCTCTTATGTTTCGTATGATAACTGAGATAATGCTGCTAAATTTATTATTTTTTTTACCTTGAATGTCATTGCTCTAATTTATTTTTTATATTTTGATATTTCATATTTTGTTCAAATGTTTAATATATCTGCTACTCATATGTTCATTCATTAGTGTGCTATTTGATTAAAATGTTGTCCTGGTTTTAAAATAAAGCACAGCAATGATATTTGAGAGTGTTTCTCCCTTTTCAGGAAAAGTATTGAAAAAGTATCGAAATCGCAATTCTTGACTTGGTATCGGTATCGAAACAATAATTTTGGTATCGTGACAACACTAATATCGATCTATGTGCTTCGATGCCAAGTGGCTCATGCCAGCCAGAATGCTAATGGCAAAGGAACTCTATCTTTGATGGTTGACTGGCCACTTCCCAGTTATTTTATTATTAACTGTGGTGCAACCAATTTTAGTAGCTAATGCAATTTCAAACTAACTAGTAGTTACTGAGCCTCTAGTGTCAGCTTTACTCCCTAACCAACACTTTAAGAAGAGAACTTAAACATAGCTGGTGCAACCAAGTCCTGGTTTTGTTGTAACAATTGTCTTTAAAGGCCTAGTTTGACATTTTGGGAAACATGCTTGTTCACTTTCTAGTAGTATTAGAGTATTGGATGAGACCATGTCCATGCAAAGCATGGAGCTAGGGCCACATTTCAGGATCTTCCTCAGTCTGAAATCCTTTCTACTGGCAGTTTAGGACAGCATTTAGAATTTCTGGTATTATAGAGACATGTTCCCTAACTTCCTTTATGAAAATAAATCTCCTAAGACAAGGTTTTACAGAACTGTTCAAACTGAATAATTTCCTAAATTAGGAATCCTTCTAGAAATTTTTTTTAAATTGTTTTTGTTAAATTCCAGAATTGATATATATATACAAAATAAACAGCTGTATCTGTTAGTTTGATGCTAACAAATAATGGAAATTACCATTAAATAAATACGAGTGCTGTAGCAAAAACACAACATGTAATTGAATTTCAGTGGCACTCACCTCGTTGCCCTTTCCCTGGGACATGCTGTCATTAGTCAGCTCTTCATCAAAAGCACTGCTGCTCTTAGTCTTCTTCTTGGGCTTCTTCATCTCTTTCTCACTATCGCTGCTACTGTTGTTGTTGTCATCGCCATCTTCCTTGTCATCCTCGTCGTCATCATCCTCATCATCATCATCGTCATCGTCGTTATCGTCGTCGTCGTCGTCGTCACTGGCACTGCCACCGTCCTCTTCCTCTGTCCCACCTTTCTGAGCAGCTGCTTTGCCTTTCTTCTTCCCTGCTGTGGGCCTCCAGTCGTTGTCGTCCTCGCTGTCGTAGTCGTCCATCTCGTTCAGTTCCTCCATGGTGGTGAAGTCCAGCAAGGGCCGGTTCCTGCGGAAGTTCCATTTCTTGGGCTCGGCCTGAGACTCTTCTGCGTTGGTGACGCCGGGCCCTGACGTTGAGGTAGAATCAGCGCCACCAGCCGCAGGAGCAGGTTCAGGCTCTGATGTCTTCTTGCTCTTGCGTCGGCTTTTTGGCGGGGTGGTGGCGGGGGCGTCTTTGGTGGAGCTGTCTGAGGAAGGCTGTTGTTTGGCCTTCTCTTCATCTTCCGTTAGGTTGTCCTCAGCAGCCAGGTCTTTGGCCTCCTCTTCATCTATACCATCATCTGCTGAGCCAGCGTTTTCCGAGTCACTTTCTGAACCTGGAGCACTTGCTTTAGACCCTTCCTCGTCGCTGCCGTTGCCTGTGCCGTCTGATCCTGTCAGACAACAAGACAGTGACAATAGGCTCAAAAGTGGTTCATAAGTCTGGAATGGGGAACCCAGGATACATTTCGGAGGAGCTCACAAGATGATTTGAAACATAAGAAAAATACATATTCTGTCATAGAATTTTTTTTTTAAAAGAATATATATATACTTTTTTTTTTCTTGCTAATTTTGCCTCTTTAACACTCAAAAAATCCTTCAAATGAAACAATCCAAGAGTCTTTAATTCAAGTGCACACAACCCATGTCAGCAGTGAGGCCGTAACTTGCATAAAGGGGTCACAGGTAGAGTTGTTTTAAGAGGCCCTAAGCCAAAAAGGTTGGGAACCACTATTTATCATATATGCTGGGGGATGTACACAATAAAGGAAGCTTCGGTAGGCCTGCAACAAATCTTACCTTTGTGAATCTTTTATTGATAATTAGGATGAAAAATTATATAGGTAGGTAACTTTTTGTCATATTTGCTGAAACATGTTGGACAGTTGGACATGACAGATAATCTGCAACCAATTGGCTCTGATTGGTTGTTTTTGTTCAGGCTCGGTGGATTCTTCCAAATGCCATTAGGAGCACTAGGAGGAACCTGATTGTTTCACAGATTATTTGTCTTATGTACTACTGTCAGGATATAGTGAAAGTTTCAGCAAACATGAGAAAAAGTTATTTTTATCAAATTTACCTACTGCAGCTTTAAGGCATTATAAAGACTGTGCCTACCTGAGGCATCTCCCACTTCAAAGTCACTGTCATCGGAGCTGTCGTAATCCAAGGCGTCTAAGAGAGAGGCAGCAAGTGGCTTCACCTGCCGGCGCTTCAGACTGCGGTCCACTAAAAAAGGTGAGAAAACACAAGAATACCAAGTTTGAGTGAGTTGTGAAGTCCATGCAGCAGGATAGCAGCTTGTTTAGGATTTACATGCAGTGACAAGACTCTTTCAAAGCAGGTAATTAGAGCAATCTTGTAAGGCTACCATGTAAAAGCTGTAATTAAAGTGTTGCCTAAAGATGATTACTCCCACTCATTGACATTATAAGCAGATCTAGCCTTAAAACATTGGACTGATGATGAGAAGATGAAATACAGATTGTGAAAAGGAGATTATTCAAAGGACCATCAATTATGTCATCCTCTATAAATATGTGTATGTAGGTCTATATCAAAAACTGAAATTTTGTCCAAATTCAGACTGAAAGTATTAGATTTGGGTGTTTAGTGATTGTTCCTTTAGACGTAAATCATTTCTAAACTATCAGACAGCTTAGATCAGTTTCTGTAACTTTATCAGGATGGATGGAAGTGAGGGCTGTAAAATATGTAATGTGTGAAAAAACGTTTGTTGTTCTATCATTCCCTACTGTCTGTTTTGTTTGTTCTGCACGGCAGGTGAACGTAACACAAAACAGGGTCATTCTGAACAGGAGGAGGACTCTGACCAGTCAAGACAAAATCAGGAACTCGTACCTAAAAGGGATTACCTCTGTCACGTGGGTAAGAAAACTGTACTATACGCTAACTGTATAACCAGAGTACTTTGTTGGTTTCTCTGAAGGACATTTCTACCAGCTGTTTCTTCATAAGGGTGCTCATAATGTTCTGCAGTCCCATACCAACAGACTGTGATTCACTGTGTGTTCTGACCCCTTTCTATCAGAACCAGCATTAACTGTTTCAGCAGTTTGAGCTACAGTAGCTCGTCTGTTGGATCGGACCACACGGGTCAGCCTTCACTCCCCACGTGCATCAATGAGCCTTGGCCCCCCCCATGACCCTTTCTCCGGTTCTTTTCCTTCCTTGGAGCACTTCTGATAGGTACTGACCTCTGCAGACCGGGAACACCCCACAAGAGCTGCAGGTTTGGAGATGCTCTGACCCAGTCGTCTAGTCATCACAATGTGGCCCTTGTCAAAGTCTCTCAGATCCGCACACTGCCCATTGTTCCTGCCTCTAACACATCAACTCTGAGGACAAAATGTACACTTGCAGCCTAATATAACCCATCTTGTGTTTCTATAGTTACGTGTTGTTACAGACATGTAGGGTATTGTTCAAAAGTGTTATATGGTGCAGGGAGCTTTAGTTAAATTCAAACTACACTCCCCTCCAAAAGTAATGGAACAGTGAGGCCAATTCACATCAAAAGATGAGCATGAGACAAGAGATCAACATTTCAGCTTTTATTTCCAGGTATTTACATCTGGATCTGATACACAACTTAGAAGGTAGCCCCTTATGTTTGAACCCATCCATTTTTCATGTGAGCAAAAGTATTGGAACATGTGGTTGACAGGTGTGTTTTGTTTCCCAGGTGTGTCCTATTACATTGATTATTCAAACAATAAATAGCACTGAATGTCTATGCTCAGTTTCAGATTTGGGTTTTGCCTGTGCATTTATAGTTAGAGGTGTAACCAACATGAAAACCAGAGAGCTGTCTATGGGTGAAAAACAAGCAATTGTGAAGCTGAGAGAAGATGGAAAATCAACCAGAGCCACTGCACAAACATTGGTCATAGCCAGTACAACCATTTGGAATGTCCTGAAGAAGAAAGAAACCACTGGTGTACTAAGTAACAGACATTGAACCGGTAGACCAAGGAAAACAGCAGAAACATTGTGAGAGCTGTAAAGAAAGACCCCAAAACAACTGTTATTGACATCAGCAAGAACCCCCAGAGGGCAGGAGTGAAGTATCACAATCTACTGTTCACAGAAGACTTCATGAACAAAAGTAAAGAGGCTACATCAGAAAATGCAAACCACTCATTAGAAAGAGGAAAAGGAAGGCCAGGCTGGAATTTGCCAAAAAGTACAGAGACGAGCCTCAAAGATTCTGGGACAAAGTTTTACGGACTGATGAGACAAAGATTAACCTTTACCAAAGTAGGATCTCTTCATGATCTCACACATACAATCTCATCTGTGAAACACAGTGGAGGTAATGTCATGGCTTGGGCTTGCATGGCTTCTTCTGCGACGGGCTCATTAATCTTCATTGATGATGTAACACATGATGGCAGCAGCACAATGAACTCAGAAGTCTACAGAAACATTTTGTCTGCCAATTTAAAGAAAGATGCAACCAAACTGATTGGGAAGTCCTTCATCATGCAGCAAGATAATGACCCAAACAACACTGCCAAAACAACAAAGGAGTTCATCAGGTACAAGAAGTGGAAGGTTTTAAACTAGCCATGTCAATCTCCAGACCTAAACCCTATAGAGCATTTTACCTGCTAAAGAGGAGACTGAAAGGAGTAACACCCCCAAAACAGTCAGTTTTAAAACAAACCCTGCTACAGCCTCTGAAAGACTCTCAGTTATTAGTTTCATTTATGCTTTAATAATGTGTGTATTGATAACTGATGCTAGCTGATCAGGCTAATTATCAGCTTTCTTTACTCGGTTCCTAACAAGTGTATTCTGTAAATGTTTCCTCTTTGTGTGCATGTTTTTAAACTACTTTCCTCATTGAACATGATGTCCTTGTAATTAATGGTGTAATTAATGACTCCTGATGAAATGTAGTTTGGAGACCAGAAGACTCACTCCCGATTACAAGGCAGAAAGTTGTGTAGTGTGAAATGTACAGCGATCTGATGACGCTGAACGCCATGAAGTGCAGCGGTTCCAACTTTTTTCCTTAAGGGACCCTTTTTCTAAAGTTTAGTAAAATGACAACCCCTGACTAAGTTGCATATGTTTTATGGATATTCCATATTATATTCAAAACTGTACAATGAACCCAAACAGTGAACTCAGTAGCTGCAAGAAACCTGTGTCAAACGAGCCATTTGGATGAATTTTGAGGATATTATTTTCTGTTTACGGAACTTGCTAATACTGTCTGTATTATGTATTTTGCGTCATCTTTAACAATCGTATATACTTACTGTGATACTTTTCTGACAAATTCGTTTTTTTCTTGACCCTGATGCTTGGCCATTGTTCTATTAGACAATTTCATTTACTTTACCTTTACTTTTCCTCACATAAGTGAACCAAATGCTGACATATAGGCCTACCGCGTATATATTCATTTAGTTGTGTTACACCCCTTTAAACCAAGAAGGCCCTGTGACCACCCATGAAGCTTTTGGCAACCCCTAGTCCTAATCCCACCCACCGCTTGGGAACCAATAATGTAGTGTGACCAAGGTTTAACAATCCACTAAAAACAGAGTGGCACAGCATCAGCCACATTATAATCTCAGCATTTTTCTCATGTTTTTCCTCTTCCCATTAGAGCGAACTTTGGTTAGTCTGCTGCCAAAACCTCATTTTAAACTCAATAGTACACCTTTAGCTGCAGTAAACTGATCTGAGTTCTGTGTGGGATTATAGAATAAGAGGTTACCTATTAAATATTTCAAAACATAGACAGCGTTTAGGTTAACTAAGCTAACTACCTCTCATCTGAACCCACTGCAGCTCCCTTTGCATCAGATCAGGACCCCACTCCTCCTGTAGGAAAGGCCCCACCACTAACGTTTGTTTACATTGTGCAGATCTTTCCACATCCACAGCGGCTCCATAACGCAGAGAACACAACCGCCAAACTCACCTTTAATGGGATTCAGCCCGACAGATTTAATAACAGGTAACTGTGACAGTGAAACAGAGCCATGGCCGCTCCTCACCTGCACACTGCGTTAGCTAACGTAGTAGCCACATGTTAGCAAACAAATATTAGCTGACGTTACCTGTTAGCAAACAAAGAGCACCGCAGCGCCTCTGCAGCTAGCACAACGCTGTGCTAAAGTGTTGCTCCTTCGGCCAGTAGTTCACCACACGCACTATTTAAGCGAACAGGATTCGGTGTACACAGTAATTCCACCAAACAACCTCTCATTTACTACACTTACTCGCATCCTCGTCTGCCAGCAACGTAGCTAATTGTGGCTAGCATTAACGTTAACTGTGGGCTTTCTCGACAAATGACGGCACATTCACACAGATATAAATATTAGGACGGCATTAAGGGCTTAATATTCCAGTTAGACTGCCAATAACAGACCGAACTGCAGTTAAAACAAGCCTGCATCAGCAATCATTAGCAACACCAAGCGCTAGTCACAAAGCACGGCTAGGCTAGCTTAGCCGACTAGCTATCTAATTAGCAGCAGCTGGAGCCGGCAAATAATGTGGTTCAATCTGCGCCGGCAAATGCAGGTAAACAAAATCGTGCTAAATCTAAGTGGAAGATGACAATGTGGAAAGCAGCACTCACTCTGTAGTCCGTATTTATTACAAGGAGGAAGGCAGTTCTCCCCTTAGCAGCATGTTATGTGGACAATGGAGAGCAGCAGTGACGTAGAGGCGACTGGATGTTGTTGCCATGGGGACAGTAAAGACTCAAGATACAGGACAGTTGCAATAAAGGTAAATTAATGAAAAAGAAAGATGGGTGAATGTTATTCATTTACCCCCCCTTTGTTTTAACCAGTTGTTATAATGTAATAATAATTAAAAATAAAATAATTAAAAAAACATCTGCAGATAGATAGATAGATAGATAGATAGATAGATAGATAGATAGATAGATAGATAGATAGATAGATAGACTTTATTAATCCCCAGAGGGAAATTGGGTCGTCATAGCAGCCAGGTACATTAAAATACAATAAAATACAACAATAGAATAAAATACTTCGATAGAAAAGCTAAAAGAAGATAAATAGGTAGGTAAGGTGTATATATATTCAGAGATTCTGGAATTTTTAATAAGCTAGAAGGAGCCAAACCTAACTTTTACTGTATAAGACTGAGAGTTGAACCCAGAACAGTGTTGCCAGCTGAGACCAGTTATACCTCACATCATTGCTTTTTTCTAAGCATCATCTCAAATTAAAACAAACTCTAAAGCATTGCAAAGAAACATATTACAAACAATAAAAAAGCAAGAATATTTTTGGCTCCCTAAAGATCTTAGAAAGTGTAAAAACATCTATTTACTGTTGTTACTTTAGTTGTATTATGGACAGTAAAATACAATTAAAATACATTGATACATTAAAATTAGAAGAGAGAGAGAAATGCAACATTTCGTGTCCCAATAAAGTGTTATTCCAAAGTGAACCTCCAGAACAGTTTCTGTACTCCTTGTCATAGATTCCCCTAGTGTGTGAAACTACTGGAAGGATGAACAGCATGTGGTTTGAAATCTTCCAAAGTAGCTAAGACAGATTTGATAACTGAAATACTAAAACCCCAGTCATAGCCAAAATATCACTGCACAGAGTATGTACACGTACATACTCTTTGATTGCATATAGGCCTGATATTTATTTCCCCTGTTGGGGAACAGGGGTTGTAAGAATAATAATAATAATAATAATAATGTAATAACTTTGCAATTAATTAATTCACACTGGAAGACGTTGAACTACAGAAAAGCTAGCCTAGGAAGAAATCTAGTTTGGTTAACCAAAGCTACTTAGAAAAACTAGTTAAAACTATTTTGTAATAAAATGATCAAATTGACAATAACAAAATATGATACAAAAAAGTCACATGCCAGCAAAATATGCCCCCAGTTAAATTTATTGCAAAGAAACTAGAGTCCAGATGGGGGTAGTAAGCTACCATCTAAAATAGCCTGCAGCAACTTTTCTCTAAACATTTCTTTATAAATAGCAATAATTAATATACTTAATATATTCAAGTTTAGTTTTACAAATTCAGATTCTAAACATTTTGCACATGCACTACACACAGGTCAAGTGTGTGGAGGTGACCACCTGGCTGATGCATTGCCTGCAATGCTTACAGCAGCCAGGAAGAAAGAAAAAGGGTACAGGGTCAAAGTTGGGTCAGTTACCCTAGTGTACATTCAGCCTAAATTTGGAGTGTTATTTAGCTCTCTGCTTGACAAGCTAGCATGATATGGTACCAATCGTTGTGTTAGGTCATCTAGTTTTTTATGACACCAGTATCTTTACTGGTATCTAGCTTTAAAACGAACCCTGCTACAGCCTCTGAAAGACAGTATGGAGTGGAAGAGGTAAGGATAATGGAGGGGCCAATCAGATGGGGCTATCCATTTATCTCGTAAATCCCCCCATCTTTGTTTTGCAAGTTGTACGTTCACCCTCGTTCAGCTTGGTGTACTCTGAGGAGCCCCGAGTGGGACAGCTGATATTACGACCAAAAGGGGGTGTGTCTCGGTGAAATGTCGCGAGATAGCTGCGAGATTTACACTTTCCAACTCGGGCGGGGGATTTACGAGACAAATGGATAGCCCCAAGATGACACACCCTGTGAGAAGTAGGGCCATTCTTTTTAAGACTAAATGCTTTCAGACTTCTTTCTTGTAGCGCAATGAGGTGCCACCTGCTGGCCATTAAAAATAATGCAGACCCGCAAGCTTTGTCCATTAATTATATACTGCCAGTACTTGGTACCAGAATTGCAAAAATCCTATTTTCTCTGCATATGCTTCTTGAAAAAACATTTCATGCAATTACTGTATCCAGACTTTCTTTTGGATTCATTAAGAAATGGTAAAGTTCCTTCAAACGGGCACATTAAAACCAACTTTGGCTCATATTCCAAACAGGCTTTGTATTGTATCGTCCTCCTTTGACTTTGCCAGTTTAGCAAATAAGAGACGATTAAAACAAATGAGCCTAGATTGATCCTGATACATGGTAAGGGGAAGACTGATGGGGCCAGCAAGCAAAAGGGATGATTACAACTGTCCTTGCTTGATGACAAATGCCCCTGTATTGTTGCTGGAAAGAGATAGTTTTTTATCAGCTTGCATCAAAACACTTTGGGGATATCACGGTAGCCATCATTGTCATCATCGCTATCGGCATTTTCATCGTTTTCCATCCTGCCCTGCCTTGATCAACATGGAGCCTGTGATGCAGCCAGATAGCGTTGGAGGGAACATGACAAGTAGTGGGGTCTGAAATTGCATCGATAATATTTGTGAGGCCAAGTGTAAATTTATCAGAATAACACTCACTGAACTGCAGATCCTGGTTTATACCTGAGCAGTGCAGACGGATATGGAGCAGTAAAGTAAAGGCTGCACTTCTAAACATTATTGAGATGAGACATTTAATTCCACAGTGTGTTTCTGACCTCCACCGGGCCTCCTGAGGATAAAATTTGTGAACAAGCATCATGCTGAGAGAGCCTGTGGATATCAGGCATTTTAAAGCTGTAGCAGTTTAGGGTTTTCATCTTTCTCTTTTTTTAAATCCAACTGTTTTATTAGGCTCAAAATAACCGTGAACAAAAAATACATCTGTGTCTGTTTTTTTCCCTCCCATAGAAATTACAATAACAAGGCTAAACAAAATAATGATGCAGGCTCTTTAACAACAAAAAGGAAGCACGGGGGAGATAATACTGTATGTGCATGCTGTGGATGATTGGGTGGGTGAAATTAAAGGACCAATGTGTAGGATTTAGTGGTATGGTGGTAATGTTGCAGATCCAAGTGTGTAGGATAAACTCTGTAGGTGGCTTCGAAACCTGTGAGCAAAAATCATCTAGAGCCGTCTTGTATGCATCTTGGATGCCATGTGATAGATAAAACACAATAGTGCCCTCCAGGGTACTAATCCCAACTCGGGCTAAGCTGTTTCACCATAATTGCACAACTTCCTGCATGCTGGTGTCCTTTTCATATGCTAGTCTGCTACTGCTGCTGCTAACCTGTTAATATCTTTCTCTGCTTTCTCTTCTCTCATGGGTGGCTGTGGTGCAGAGGCAGAGCGAGTTGTCCCCTAATCGGAAGGTTGTTGGTTCGATCCCTGGCTCCTGCCGCCACATGTCGAAGTGTCCTTGAGCAAGATACTGAAACCCGAATTGCATCACTGTGTGAATGTGTATGAATGTTAGTTTCTGTTCGATGGACTTTGCCATCGCTGAGTGAATGTGTGTGAAAGGGTGAATGTGGTGTAAAAGCGCTTTGAGTGGTCGGAAGACTAGAAAGGCGCTATACAAGTACAGGTCCATTTACCATTTACCATGTACTAGGATATAGTTAGTATAGTTTCAGCAAAAAAGTTACCTACTGCAGCTTTAAAAGGGACAAATGAGGTGCACAAACATGCTGTATACATTGAAAATAACCCTCCATTCATTAGTCCAAGGGGTAGATTGAAATGTGGCAGACGATAAAAGTAGATGGTGGAGACTTTAGTGAGATTTAGGAGGAGCCATAGGAAAGGCTGTGTGCTCAGTGCAGAGAGCTGAGATCTTGAGAGAGTGTCCTACCACAGATATCACTCAGCCTGATGAACCAGAGGACAGAAGCAATTACATTGAGAGCAAGAATAACACAGGGTTTAGGAAATAAAAACATTACTATGAGGACGCACCATGACAAGTAAGGTTTAAAACCTCATTTGAGGAGGAGTAATTGCATTGGATGTTATTTATGAATCCTTAGGTAAAATGTACCGAAATGTCTGTGTTGATCTACAGCTCCGCTCCAACACCAGATTTAGCATTTAAATTGAAATATTTGTCCATTCATATGGTGTAAATCATGTGACAACATGTTCTGCATTTATCTTTAGTGAGACTGCCTTTACATTTCATTCTACATCTGGAGAAAGTGAATTGTGTTACAACCCCGCTGGCAGCGCTCGACGATGTCTCGCAATAAAATGTTCACTGGTAACCAATTACTTGTGAGGCATGCAGAACAAATTAGATTTAAAGAAGTGTCATTTTCATCTCTCACTAAAATTAATCTGATAATGTCATTTGTTGAACATAGAACAAGATGTTTTACTATTTAATACAGTGGCTGTCAAACTGTGGTTCCAGGAGCCCTTGTGGAAGAGGGTTCCAATAGGTGGACAATTAACATTATAGTTCAATTAACTGTAGTTTCATCATCCATAAAATACATAAAAAGAAGAGTTTGGGTGCTCCAATCACAAATGGACAGCTCTATGTACAGGTGTGACCACATTCAGATTCTTTAAGCAGTGTGTACATGAATGTGTCCTCGGCCACACTGAAGGACTTTGTAAGCAGAAGTATGTGATTGGTTGTTTTTGTTCACTCCCGGTGGATTCTTGCAGAACACAGTGAAAAGTTTAGCAATAATAACAAAAAGTTATTTTCATAAAAGCTACCTACTGCAGCTTTAGTGCAAAACAAGCAGAAGAGGCCATAATAGGCTAAATTAATTCTCAATTCGGTCATGTATTACATTTGTTGAAGGGCATAGAATTGATAATTGCAGCAGCTTGAGGAAAGCAGCTGTTGGAGAGCATAATGGCCAGTATCACTTTTGACAAGACAGCAAGATGTGAGTGTGGCAAGAGCAATCTTTAATAATATTCTGTGCTCTTTAATT